AAAGAATTCCATTTTCAGCATAAGACTTAAGACGTATTTCTTCAGCCAATAACTCACTGACAACTGAGTCAACAGAAGGAAGTGGAGAACGATGCAAAATTGAACCTCTGAGTCCTTCAAAATCATTGCGAAGTGCCGTTAAAAATTGTACCAACCGTTGCTGCTCTCTATGAGTAATATAGGCAGCACATGCCTTTAATTCTGTCGATTCTGTAAGGGCCAATTGATCCCAAAGATCTGTCATAGCAGAATAAAATTCCTGAATACTCATATTATTCTGATGAAGAGCTCGTATATCATTCTCCAATTGATACTGCTTTGCAAAATTTGACTGAGTGAATAATCTTTGCAAATGATACCAAACCTCCTTTGCTGTCTCATACTTCGCCAACTCTCTACCTATGGAATGCTCCACAGAGTTGTTGATCCAAGTAATAATTTTTGAATTGTTTGTTTCCCAGGCATCTATCAAAGCAGCATAACCCTCATTGGTATTCTCAGGTTTTACAGAAGTTCCACTAATGAATCCCCACATCTTTTTACCCTTAAGAAAATTTCTCATCACGTAACTCCAATACGAATAATTCTTTCCATCCAACCTCATACTCACAGACTGAAGGGAATCGTCTCTTTCAGTAGCCATAATAAAAAAATAACAGATTTCAAAAATACCAGATTACAGAAATAACAGATTGCAGAAATACTAGATTGCAGAAATATCATATTACAGAAATACCAGATTGCAGAAATACCAAATGGTTTAACCTAAATACAAAGAGAATATGTATAGGCTAAACAAAAGAAACTAAAAAGGACTATTCTACTCTTAATAAATAATAAATAATTCTATATTTCTTAACAAATACCACTGCTGGTTTGAGATGGAAACCATATCGTTCTACTTGCTTCTCTTTGGGACTTGCATTACCCCATTCATATGGGCTAACATGGATATAATAGATTCGTATTTGCTATTCATTTCTCCCATCAAGATGCTCCATCCGGTCCTGCGTAGCACAAACTACCTTTAACATTTGGTCTGATGATTTGAAAACCACACCCAAGTCTAAGATTTCCTTGTCTAGTTTCTTAAGGTGTTCCTCATTAGATTTACTCCTAGTTTTAGCCATAACAAGTCATGATGCTACTCTGATACCAAATGTTATAGGTGAGATTCAATCTCGACCTCCAAACTTACTCAAGGAACTTAAATCGTATAATTTAATAGAACATTTAGTAACCCAGTAATTAATTGCAATATAGCTCATCTGTTTCCTCCTCCCTCTTCTTGCCTTTGGTATTTCTCTTCCCTTTTGCCTCCTAACTTTGGGGTTTTTCTCTTCCTTTTTTTCCCCTTCAAATTTTTATGTTTTTGTCTCAATTTTCGAAGTCATTGTCAGATGTCAAATGAAATTGAAAATTGTATTCTTAATATTATTTTGAAGTGTTCATGGCCTAATTTTCTACGTTGTTAACGATGCTTGAATGATCAACCGCAGTAAATGTTACTATTTGTCAAAGTAGATCATTCCAAACTAACATTTCAAAAATTTCAATAACATGATAACTTTAAAAAAATTTCAACGATTGTACGTTAGCCAAATCCACAAATCGCTTATCCCATCTTGAAGCTCTTTTCGAGCTACATCGTAGGCCTACCGAATGATCTAAACAGATCCATAATAGTTAAAGATACATCAAACGTGCTTCTTAAAAAGAGACGCATTACTCGTATTTTCTTTAAAAATTTTCAAATATGATTAATTTTTGCGATATAATTTTTCAATATAATTTACATCATTTTACTAAAAATTTTTACATGGAATGTTACACAAAAAAATTTTGAAAATTTTCTTCCGAATATGACTTTTTCAGATGTAATATTATATGGGCCATATATTTTTGGAAGTAAATTTTCTAATTAAAAATTCTTTACAACTTTTTTACATGTTTGATTGTGGGTGGCAGCTCCTACACAAGAGGAAATCAGTGAAAATAGCCGGTCGACCCACTCTTATTTTCACTTTGGCCTTTGACTGATTTAAAAAAATGAAAATACATTTTAAAGATGCTTTTCAAAAAATACCCCTCCATCTTCCTCACTCTCTCTCGACAGTTTGGAGAAAGAAATTCACTTTCATTGATAGTCGGTCATTCAGACATCTTCCTCACCGTCCAACTTTCGATTGTCGGCAATCTCCTATTGTAAAGGTTAGTTTTTGTGGAGTTATAATTAGATTATTAGGTTTTCTTGAGTTTTAATTAGATTATTGGTTAGAATATTATTTTGTGGTGCGAAAGGCATGATTTAGGCTAGATTTGCGTATAGATGAAGTATATTGGCCTATTTTGTTTGTGTGGAGAGCTCCAACTCACCAAAAATGGTGGATTCCGACGAGAGAAGCGTCCACTGAAAATGGTGGATTCCGACAAGAGGAGCGTTCGGATGTTAACAGTCGGTTCTAATCAGTCCCTTTTTTTTTTCCTAAATTAATTTAAATAATTAAATGTTTGGAATTTTAAATTAAATAATTTTATTTTCTTTATCAAATTTAAAGAAATTTGTTATACTAAAATTAATTTTTTAATTCTAATCTTAACTTTTATTTGAAATTTAATTTTAATTTTAATTTTAAATTTTAATTTTAATTTTCATTTTAATTTCAATTTAAAGAAATTTGTTATTTTAAAATTTATTTTCAAATTAATTTTTTAATCCTAATTTTAACTTTTTATTTTCAATTTAATTTTAATTTTAATTTTTTATTTTATTTTAAATTTTCATTTTCATTTTAGTCATAATTTTAATTTAAAGAAATTTGTTATTTTAAAATTAATTTTAAAATTACTTTCTTAATTCTAATTTTAGCTTTTTATTTTAAATTTAATTGCAATTGTAATTTTATTTTAAATTTACATTTTTTAATTATAATTATAATTTAAATATATTTTTTATTTTAAAATCAATTTTAAAATTAATTTTAAAATTCAAATTTTTACTTTTTATTTTAAATATAATTTTAATTTTTTTATTTTAAATTTAAATTTTCATTATAATTATAATTTCAGTGTAAAGAAATTAGTTATTTTACAATTATTTCAAATTAAATTTTTAATTCTAAATTAAAATTTTTATTTTAAATTTAAATTTAATTTTTTATTTTATCTAAAATTTAAATTTTCATTTTAGTTATAATTTTAATTTAAAGAAATTTTTTATTTTAAAATTAATTTTTATATTCTAATTTTTAAGTTTTATTTTTTAAATTTTTATTATAATTTAATTTTAATTTTAATGTAATGAAATTTGTTATTTTAAAATTAATTTCAAATTAAATTTTTAATTCTATTTTTAAAGTTTTATTTTTAATTTAATTTTAATTTTTTTATTTTAAATTTAAATTTTCATTTTAATTATAATTTCAATTTAAAGAAATTTTTTATTTTAAAATTAATTTTTAATTCTAATTTAATTTTTTTAAATATAATTTCAATTTTTCATTTTATTTTAAATTTAAATTTTCATTATAATTATAATTTTAATGTAAAAAAATTTGTTTTTTAAAATTAATTTCAAATTAAATTTTTAATTTTAATTTTTAATTTTATTTGTAATTTAATTTTAAATTTATTTTAAAGTTAAATTTTCATTTTAGTTATAATTTTAATTTAAAGTAATTTGCTAAAATAAATTTTCAAATTACTTTTTATTTTAAATTGAATTGTAATTGTAATTTGAATTTTCATTTTATTTTTATTTTTTATTTTAATTTTTATGGTAATTATTAATTTTTGAACGGTAAAATATTCATATTATTAATTTTTTGTAAGAGGAAAAAAATTTCATGAATCTGTGTCTTGCGTATAGTAGTTACGATTCGGTTCGCTTAATTTTGGGTTATTATGCTTCATTCCATTATTTGATGTACAATGTTCTAATATTCTTTTTCAATTTTTCCAGGATGGATTATCATCTAGATGCAGAGCTGAGACAGATGCGGGGCAAACTCACGTGGAACAGTAACTTTGATAGCTTCACCCAGATCCTGGAGCTGCTTGACAACCAGCATGTAGATGCGTTGCGTCAGTCCTTTCTGTGGCTTCTATACCCTATGAGAGAGTTGCAGTATTCGGGTCAGATGATCGATACTCTTCTATGTCAGTTGTTGAGTCCAATTGATGACGACGCCTTCCACTTCGACCTCGGGGGCAAAGTTGCCAGATTTTCCATGTTCAACTTTGCCTGCTGACAAAATTGAAGATTATGGGCGATGAGGCAGCTAGCGACGAGACTCAAAGAAGAAATAGGCTACAAGACACTAACTTCTAGGGACAAGGATGGTGGTTCTGCCTCAATTGATGGATGCGATCAGGAGATATAACGAAATGTTAAACAAATTGAAGTTAGGCTTGGTCTACATCATTGAGAACGTGATACGGTGTCACCACAAAAAGACCGCAATCAACATTTTCCACCTGCAGATCTTCGATGACATAGATCGCTTCAACAGCTATCCATGGAGCCGTCGATATTTCAAGAACACCATCCACATTTTCACCAAACCGCACTCGAAGCCCAAGGGGCTCGTGCGTAAGTACGACACCTACAGATTTCTGTTGGCGCTGCAGGTAAATGATTAACGCAATTAATGTTAAAATGTTTTTTCTATTGAATTTGTATGTACTAATTTATGTGTTGCAAGTTTGGGCGTGTGAGACCATCCCCATATTAGGTACCCGCTTTACGCGGTGAGGAGAGATAGGATGTCCTTAGATGTACCATTAGTGAGCATCTTGGGCGGAGGGATGTCTCACTGGAAAATAATTATTGGCTTTCCTCGACGACCCTCATGTGAGTATTAAAAATTTGTGATTTATATTGTACATAATTTAAAATCTCATTACATGATTTTATCTTTTTAAAATGTCAATATGTCAGTTTGAAGTAACAACTCATTTGGAGCCATCGATGGAGGAGGAGGCTCACGGTTTTGTGCGTGAAATAGTGGTTTCGCACACCCAAGACGACCAAATGTCCGACTCGATCCTCAATCGAGACTGGGTAAGTGAATTATTGATTAATATTTTGTATGAGTTAGCAATTAGTGAATAAGTTTATATGTAAGTTTGTGCAGGACCGCGAGCCAGTTGTTCAGGCATCACCTCATCGGTGGCATCACCTCCTCCCCCTCAGGGTGATTATTCTAATGATCTGTACATCGTCTGACTGGATTTATGGTGCAGGAGATCGGCATGCTGTGTCGAGAGCTGATAGGAGTTATATCAGAGGAGGTCGGCTCGCTACGCTGAGATATGATGGAGCAGGTCGACGATCTGGGACACCAGTTGGTAGGAAGGGTCGAGGATATAGCTGACGATGTTAGAGTACTGCGTGGGCATTTAGGTGACCTTCAGGATGAGGTGATAGCACTTCGAGGTGATCTATCAGGCAGACGATAGGGTAACGAAGGTGACGACCGGGGGTGATCGAGAGGATAGAGATGAGGGTCACCCACAGTCGTGGTTGGAGGATGCATGGGAATCCTTTCTTCAATCCATGGAGGATAGGATGGCCCTGAGGGCAGAGAAGAGGGTGGCCCCGTCGAGGATGGGAGCTACGATTGAGGAGGTGGTGCCAACGATGGCGGATGAAGGGGTCGAGAAGGTAGTGATGACGGGGGGTGGACCCCTTGAGGAGGGAGCTATCGTCGAAAAGGTGGTGACGACGGGGATGGAGGAGGAGGTGAAAGGTGGCGATCATTGGGGCGAAGAAGGGGACGATGCTCGAGGTGGACGAGGGGAGGACGACCACCGTGACTGGGGCGAAAAATCATGTTGTTCACGTGCCGGAGCTAATAGTAGGCAAGAGGTCAAGAGTGCCGTCACAGTACATTGTCTCTCCCTTCACGGCTAAGACGATTAATGTACACACCAAACTTTTGTAAATTAATGTTTCAGTATATACAGATGAATTTTTCCTCATCAAATGCTTAAATTTTTTATAGATCTATTAAAAAACTATCTACATTAACATTATATGTCGAAATAAATTTTATCTATTAAAACGTAAAGTAATTTAATGAAAACAAAATTAAATGTGTTTATTATAAACTTACTGATATTATGAGATAGATATAAAAAAAATTCAACTACCGCGTTCGATAAATTTTTCAGATCTTGAGGTTGAAGTAGATGAAAGATGAGAGTGTTTTTATCTATGTTGGAGTAAACAGATACGAAAAGTTTGCTGATTTTGATATTTTAAGTAGGAAGTGTTTGGTTATTATTTGTTAACTAAAGGGTAGTCTTTTAAACAAAACTATCTTTTGTAATTGTATAATACACTTAAGAATATTTTCTCTTTAAATACTCAATAGGTCATTGTGATAATATTAACAATTGAACAAGTTAAAGTGAAATTTCCCTTCTTTGACTATTCCATTTTTAAAAGTAACTCTCCTACACAACTAGTTGTAGTTAGGGATTAGCCCTGAAAATCATAGGAGCGATCAAACGGGTCATAGATTACGCAGTCAAAATTCGGGTCTAGCCCTACAAGGTATATCCATATAACTCTACCAAAAAAAATCCTCCAAATCCAATACATGAAATATATCACTTTAATTTTTGGGGCTTTCATTTAAAAAATCTAGTCAAACAAAACATTACTTTAAAAAGTCCACAAACTAAGTTCTTTGAGTAAAAGGCCTAAAGATATGGAAAATGAAAAATATAATTTGTAAATGACAAAAATGACCTTACATACAAAAAAGACATTGCTGCCCTAATTCCCATTTTAAATCCCATTTGACCCTAATTAAATTCTACATTCCTTCTATTTGCTCTTCAAAAATCGGCTATAAAGGTATGCAATTCTTTTCTTTGTCATCATCATTTTTCTCTATTTAATGAAGCTATAAACTCTACATTTCATTTTTTTTGAACACTCATTTGGTTGAAGTGAGTAATAAAATCTTACAATATTATTGTTGGGCATTTGGAGAAGAAGAGGATGTTGTAATTTTCAATTTTTAGGTTAGTTTCTTTGTTCATTTTTTGAATAATTTCTTCATGTTGTTGTATATATGTTTATGGTTTTTATTTGTGAACAACGATTTTGAATTAATTTTATCATTAGATTAGAATTTTGATATGGGTTACTTTCAAACCCTTTTCTCATTACTCATCATTTATATCGGTTAGAGTAAAATGTAAGTTTAAAAAGCCATGTTTGGCTATTCTTATTATTGGTCTACTATAAAACATACATTTAATTTTCTTCTATACATAACGACTTACATGTCGTTTTCTGCAATCTGTAACGACTTACATATCGTTATCAGTACTGTACAATGTTTGAAATTTGAAGAAATTTTTATATTGAATTACAGTTATGGACACCGTGAATATGGTATGGATATCAGTTTGTTTTCCAATTGAATATGAGCAATCAATTGAATGTGTTTAAAAATGAAAATATGCAGGGAATGGCAAAGAAAAACAATTCCTATTCTTGTTTTGAAAACTATTTCTTATGTGGAATTATATGATAAAGTCAAATAGGTGTTGAACATCAATTCACAACTTTTTTGGAATTTAATTGGAAAAATTGAATGATTAAATAATCTATTCACAATTTCAAATGGTTACGAATACAGTCATAAGATATCAATGGACTGCATATTTTTATTCCCAAATAAGATGGAACAAACCAATACCTTGAAATAGAAACCAGTACCTTGGCTTTATTGGAGCATACTCTTTTATTATTTCATTTACATTTATAATGGATAATTGATTTGGAATTATTTCCTGCAAATTACATAATTATCGGGTGTGTTATCTTGCTCATTTATTTGCTTTCAATATTAAGATTTAGAAACTTGGATGTTTACTTTGTGATTTCATACTGCAGCTCTCTTAAGGGACATGCTTACTCAATTTTGCTCTGAGAGGAATTTGACATAGCAGGTCGAATATTGTGTCAGCCTTTCCCATCCCCGACCCAAAGAAAAATGAGAAACGTCGTTTTTTTCCCCTTTTTTTAGATGCTATTGGTGGATGACTTTTTTACATAGAAACAATTGGTCCAACATTTTAAGTAATTTATTCCTTCAGTTTCATCAAGATGTAGGTCGAAAATGTGTGTATATATGTGTATACGATAGAAACTATAATGTAATGGCAGGCTTATATAGTAGGCGAACTTCCTGGTTTATCATCATAATTCATAATCCAAGTTCCTAAGTCTGTGACAGTGCTGAGATTATAAATGATCAAAATTATTCAATGGATCTATAAAAACTATATTAATCGACCGTTCATTTCTATTTTTATAATTTTTTTTCCAAAACAATCTTTATTTTTTAAGTTCTCGAGTAATAATCGTCTGAGATTAATGTTGTCATATTGTCCTGACTTGTAACTTTATAATTTTGTAGTCATTGTGCTATTGAAATGATTTTGCACTATTGAAATACAAACGACGTTCATATAGTTACAATTTATGTAAATGCAATCAATCTAATGACGATATATATTTTCTTCCTTCTAAAACAAAGTGTTTAAGATCGTTGTAGTACAAAAATGTATTGATTTTAATTATAACATTGAAGTTGTTATTGAAACACAAAACAATATAGATGTCATTCCAATGCAAAAAAGTAGAGTGAATAGCATAACGATATTGAAACCGTTCATGTAATAAAGAACGATTTTTATATCATTTTAGTATGAAATACACACGATATAAAAGTCGTTATGACTATACATAAACGATATATAAGTCATTTTAATACAAAAATGCACTCATTCTAAGAATGACATGGAAGTCGTTCCTGAAACTCAAAATGATATAGATGTCCTCCCAATAAAAAAAGTGCACTGAACAACGTAACGATATTGAAGGCATGACGGGTAGTTGTGGACGGTCGAATTTACTTTTAGCTAGAACGATATAATTATTGTTTTATATGAAAAGAAACGGTATCTTTGTCGTTATACTTGTAATTTGAATTAAAACGATTTCAAACTATTCAAATTTGTACTCAAACGATATGAATGTCCGTACTTTATTTGTGATTTTGATACATAACGATATCATTATTATTTCAGTACAAGTTTGAAGACGTTGATATCGTTTTAGCTTAATCATAACTTAAACTACATGCTTATCGTTTCAATCAAAATAAAACGACAATTATATCATTTCGACTAAAAATAACGATTCGACCGCCCACGGTTACCAGATATGCATCTGACGTATGTTGGAGGATTAAAATAGGTAATCAATTGGGTTCGATCTCACTCAAAGAGAATTATGAGAACATTTTTGTTCTCATGATTGTATACCATCTTCGAACAATTCTGACAGAAAGTATCTTCATTCGCTTTTTTTAAGTCATTCGAATGGTATCAACCCACTTGATGACCTCTTTTGATCGTCTTACGTATGTTGAGGGCATAACAGGTGGTTGTGGACGGTCAAATCGTTATTTTTATCCAGAACGATATAATTATCGTTTTATATGAAAAGAAACGATATCTATGTCGTTATACCTGTGATTTGAATTGGAATGATTCCAAACTTATCAAATTTGTACTAAAACAATATGAATGTTGTTATTTTATTTGTGATTTTGATACATAACGACATCATTTTCATTTTGATATAAGTTTGACGATATTGATATCGTTTTAGTTTAAATTATAACTAAAACTACACGCATATCGTTTCAGTTAAAGTAAAACGATATTTATATCATTTTTGCTAAAAATAATGATTCGACCGTTCAGGACCACCAGACATGTATCTAACATATGTAGAATAATCAAAATAGGTAATCAAGTGGGTTCAATCTCCCTCAAAAGAAATTATGAGAACATTTTTGTCCTCATGATTGTATACCACCTTCAAACTATTCCAACAGAAAGTATCTTTGTTTGCTCTTTCTAAGCCATTCAAGTGGTATCAACCCACTTTATGATAACTTTTGATCGTCCTACGTATGTTGAAGGCATGTCTCGTGGTTGTGGACGGTCAAATCGTTATTTTTATCCAGAACGATATAATTATCATTTTATATGAAAAGAAATGATATTTATGTTGTTATACCTGTGACTTGAATTGGAACGATTCCAAACTCGTCAAATTTGTACTAAAACGATATGAATGTCGTTACTTTATTTGTGATTTTGATATATAACGACATCATTTTCGTTTCGATATAAGTTTGATGACGTTGATATTGTTTTAGTTTAAATCATAACTAAAACTATACGCATATCGTTTTAGTTAAAATAAAACGATACTTATATCGCTTTTGCTAAAAATAATGATTCGACCGTCCATGACCACCAGACATGCATCTGACATGTGTAGAATGATCAAAATAGGTAATCAAGTGGGTTCGATCTCCCTCAAAAAAAACTATGAGAACATTTTTGTCCTCATGATTATATACCACCTTCAAACTATTCCGATAAAAAGTATTTTCGTTTACTCTTTTTAAGTCATTCGAGTGGTATCAACTCACTTTATGATATTTTTCGATCGTCCTACGTATGTTGAAGGCATGACGGGTGGTTGTGGACAGTCGAATTGTTATTTTTAGCGAGAACGATATAATTATCGTTTTATATGAAAAAACGATAACTACGTCGTTTTACATATGATTTGAATTGGAACGATTTCAAACTCATCAAATTTGTATTAAAATAATATGAATATCGTTACTTTATTTGTGATTTTGAAACATAGCGATATCATTATCGTTTCTATGCAAGTTTGACAGCTTTGATATCGTTTTAGCTTAAATCATAGCTAAAACTACATTCATATCGTTTCAATTAAAATAAAACGACAATTATATCGTTTATGCTAAAAATAACGATTCGAACGTTCACGACCACCATACATGTATGTGACATATGTAGGATGATCAAAATAAATAATCAAGTGGGTTCGATCTCTCTCAAAAGAAATTATGAGAACATTTTTTGTTCTCATGATTGGATACCACATTCGAACTATTTAGACAGAAAGTATTTTCGTTCGCTCTTTTTAAGTCATTTGAGTGGTATCAATCTACTTAATGACATTTCTCGATCATTCTACATATGCTGAAGGCAGAACAGGTGGTTGTAAACGGTCGAATCTTTATATTTAGCTAGAATGATATAAATATTGCTTTATATGAAAATAAACGATATCTATGTCGTTATCACTGTAACTTGAATTGTGATGATTTTAAACTCATTAAATTTGTACTATAACGATTTGGATGTTGTTGTCTTATTTTGTGGGTTTGATACATAAAGATACTATTATCGTTTCAGTATAATTTTGATAACATTGATATCAACTTGATTTAAATCTTAACTAAAACGATAAATAAAAATGATAATTATAAAAATAACGATTCGATCTTCCACGGTCACCTGACATATATTTGTCGTACGTAGGATGATAAAATAAGTCATTAAGTGAGTTCAATCACATTCAACAGAAATAAAGATAGTAACTCCATTCGCTCTTTTTGAGCCATTCGAGTGCTATCAATTCACTTGATACATTCTTTCGATCATCATATGTCATTCTAATTATTATTTAAACTGTAATGATTTCAAACTCGTTAAAATTGAAAAGAAACGATGCATATGTCATTCTAGTCATTATTTTGTGCCTAGGGAAAAATTTAAAAGTTGTTATTAAAATAAGAGCATTTTATACTAGAACGACATCAACTACTTTACGTGTCACTAGATCGAAGTACATATCGTTACATGAATATGCACAATGTTTACATTCTAAACATGTATAATATGTAAACTTGAAAATTATAAAATCACGAAAATATGTAAATTTCAATTACATTTAATATCGTAGTCATAACGTTCTAGTGTACCCACTCCTAAAATGATATATATGACATTATAGTTACGATTGAATAGAAATGATATAATTGTTGTCGAAAATTGTATTGAAACAACATAAACGTTGTTGACTTATTCCATAGCGTGCACCGAACCTTTTAAATAGTGAAGAGTGAGTGTTCGATATCGAAACGACATATACATCATTTTTTGTATTTTAGGAACGAATTCAATATCGTTATACAAATCAGTTAAGCGGAGTGTATTTGATGCTGAAATAATATCAAAGTCGTTTTATGTTTCAGGAACAATTTCAATGTCGTTATCAAATCAGTGAAACAGTGTCAGCAGCTAATTTTCATTCCACATTTTTATTAAGTTGATAAGTTATATTTTACGATTTCTTCAAACTGCAATATCTTGGCGATGGCTTATCTGAATCGACTTTTTCTCGAATCGAATAATTTTTATTAATTAAAAGCTTTAAAATGAATACAATATCGATATACTACATCACTTTTTATTAAAATCTAATTATTGGACTCTAAATAAGATAGAAATTTTAAAAATATTTTTTTGTCTTTTTCTTTTAAAATATAACGATAAAATTTATTTTAAAGAATTTCGTGTGTTATAATAGGTGTCTAATGAATAAATGACTCAATAATTATTTTCGACTAGTTGCTAAGTTGTGGATAATGTTAAAAATTGGGTGCACCGGAGATCAATTATGAAGAAGAGATGGCCTTAAACTTAAAAAAAAAAAGTTCGAATTCTAAAGAGAAGATGATTTTGAAGAAGAACATTTTTTGAATTTAAAGAAAAAGAATGCTGTTAGAACATGAATACATATTTATTAGAGCCAACTTGATGATCGACTCGAAAAAAACCACCGAGTCAATGGTCCAACCAATGTGTTATTGTTAAATTTTAATTTTAATTAAATTTTATTTTTGAAGTGAAAATGAAACAATTTTTTGAAATGTAATATTTTATTTTTCTCACAAAAAACAAAAGATCGTCATTTGCCATAATGGTTGTGAAATTAAAATATTTTCTTGTCATCCAAGGTTCAAGTCACGGGCTTCAACAAATTTAGAAAAAAAATTCCAATTTCTTTTTCATTATTATTTTACAAGTTAAGGTTAAAGAAGTCTTTTGACACTTTTAAATAATTAAACTTCCTTTTATTTTTATAATTTTGGTTCTACTTGTACATAATTATTACATATAATGGTGTACATAATATGATGTAGCAATTATCCAATTGTTGATGTGCAATCGTAAAATTTGAATTAAAAATTAGATCGACCTATAATTATGGACACCATTATATCTTCAATTGTATAATTTTAATCTCTGGAGTAGAGACCTCCAATGTGAAGATGTCTATGAACCCGTTTGGCGAAATAGCACTAGAAGATGCACTCCGAATAAAGTAGTCAGGTCGGGAAATTAAAATATTTTCTTGTCATCCAAGGTTCAAGTCACGGGCTTCAACAAATTTAGAAAAAAAATTCCAATTTCTTTTTCATTTTTATTTTACAAGTTAAGGTTAAAGAAGTCTTTTGACACTTTTAAATAATTAAACTTCCTTTTATTTTTATAATTTTGGTTCTACTTGTACATAATTATTACATATAATGGTGTACATAATATGATGTAGTAATTATCCAATTATTGATGTGCAAGCGTAAAATTTGAATTAAAAATTAGATTCAATGCGACGTATCCTCCGAGGTTGTGTCCAGTGTGCTGACACTCTCCGGACCGGGCTTGCAATGGGGGCGGACCGGGCCATCCACGTGGATAATCCGGGAAGTTTGTACCCGCTTTCCATTGCGAAGATTCTTAAAGCTCTTGTTGAATTTGAAAAGCCTGGTCTTCTTCTAGTTCTACTTGGAAAATAGGTAAATTTTACAATTTTTTTTTTTATTTCGTATTGTGGAGAATTATGCTATGCAATGGTTGAAATTACTTCCATTACCGTTTTGTACATTCAAAAGACCTTTTTTTTCCCTTGGGTGCATTCATATTGAGTTTTATGTGAAATTTGATTGATAAATGCTTATTTTCTTTATATATTTTCATTTGAATATAGCACCTTTATGTGAAGTGGGATTATTATGTACATGGCGAATTTAAAGAAATGAAATGGATTTAAGTTGCTAATTTAAGAATATAGTAATGCTGAGGCAAGGTGCAAATCTTGAAGCATAAAGTTTTCATACAATTTTGAAAAATATGTTGTGCTTGTGCCTTGCTCTTGGCCTGCATTCTTGCTATTTACGATGTCATTTTTCTTTATTTGTTTACATTTTCTAGGTAAGCTTATTTTTGGGAAAGGTATGTGCAAGAAAATTGGATGAACTCAAAAAAGAAAACATAGACACATTTCTTTAATTATTCCAAGCAATAGGATGTTAGGGAATAAGCCTAATTCCATTTTCGATGGCAATAATGAATGAGATGAAAAATAAAACATACAAGTTTTATGGTGGTTTGTCTCAATTTGAGTGCTACGGTCTACTAATATTATATATACATACATTTTAGTAATAAATTAGATTGATCGTTCTTATTCGAAGTTCATTGGTCATTATTGCGGAGTATCAGTGGTCAACGCTTCCTTTTTGTATTTTCCTTTTTTTAACGTGCATCTCCGTGTATCCTGATAAAGATACTAAAATGATAATTTTTTTCCTCTTTTTTAAAATCTTGTAGATAATGCGCTCCTGTTTCAGAGGAAAAATCTTATACTAGTTCCTTTTTAGAAAAGCGTGAGAATTTGGAATTGTGCAAATTATCCTCGTATTTATTTAGCGAGTCATCAAGTAAAACTTCGGAGAGAGTGATTAGGAAAACATTTATGTCTAGAATGAAAGGTTTCATAGAATCTTCCGTTATGTCTTGTGTTTATCTGCTAGAATACACTCAGACCATTTGCAATGTAGGAAATTCTTGATAAACATTTTGAAATGGAGCTATTTGTTATTTGAGACATCTCAAAGTGGATGTTATAGCAATAACGGTGTAATAGAGACCATTAACTTTTGGACACATTTTTTTGAGACTGCATATAACTTTTAGCCTGCTCAATGGAAAGTTTAGAAATGAAATTGCTTTTACATTTATTTGTAAGGATGGTAACTGCTCCAGATTAACCATCTTAGACTTTTTTGATGCAGGCTATGATGCTTGGACTCGGGTACGGATACGTATCTAAGTGTCGGATCTTTTATTTTTTTAAATGTAGGATACGGAGACATGGCTAAAAAGAGTCTAAATTTTGGACACGGGTACGTGGATACATATTTGAAACTTCAATTTTTTTACTAAAGATGTTATTTTGAATAGACCAGAATCAATTGTTCACAAAGAAGGAAATAGTATTAAATAAGGGATTAAGACTTATAAAATAGAATCTTGAGATTTAGTTTTCAATTATGAGAAGTTAAGTACTAAATGTTATATAAAATAGAAAATGAGGAACTTGATTGCAATTTGAATTTAGTGAGCACTAAATAGTATTGTATGGAACCTATTTTCATTTTATACAAACAAAACTCTAAACTGCAAATGCAGAGAGGAAAGAATGAAAAAAAGGAGAGCCTTTCTCCCCCCTCTCGGAGATAGCGCTAGGTTTATAGAGAGTAGAAAAAAAAAAGCAAAAAAGAGCGAAGTGTTCGGTTGAAATTTGGAGGATTCGATATATATCCCATACCCATACACATGTCGTGTCGTATCCGACACGAGTACTTCAACCATTTCGAAGAATCCGAGCATCAGAGGATGTAGGTCCATTCATCTGCCCAATAATATAATTGGTGTAGTTAACATCAATCTTTGACCCTCATTTTGTTGTTGCATTGGATGTAGCTATGTAGAAATAAAATGGTTATTTGTCCATTATGATATTAGATAATAATTTTTCTTGCAAGGGTTGATTTTTGAAAAACTGACATTGAAAAACGTAAAGAATGTATTCACTTACTGTGCCATTCCTTAATTAAATCACTATATCAATTAAATCACTATATCAATGATTTTTGAAGTTTCAGTAACTGCTACTGCATTGTCATGGCGTTTGATAATGGATGCTCTTGGTTATAAATATTTTGCTGTTTTACTAGTTAGAAAATTCTCCGTTCTATAATTAGTGTATTATAGAGTTCTTTGAATTATATCTCTTTACCTCTTAAAGAATTTTGAATCGAACTACCTTCTTGTTACCAATATCTGCCTGATCACTGTTTCTGATGTTCAAATTTTGTTCAGGCAATTGACAATGACTGCAACCAGACAGGCCAAATGGTTGCTGGGCTTCTCAAATGGCCTCAAGGGACCTTTGCCTCCAAGGTTAGCATTGCAGTCCTCAAGCTTTATATAATATTAGATGAAATTCATCTTTTTCTCAGAAGTAATAATGTGATGAATACATGTATTAAAATGTTGATTTTTCTTGATTCTGAAAATTTTTGGACTGATGAAGCCTATCTTTCTGTCAATAGGTATTAGTATAATATTAACACAAGTTACTTGTTGCTGATCTGAATTACTATGTTGTTGAACCCTTTTAAAATTTACAGTTAGTGCTAATTTCTTCCTCTTTTTCCCTCGTGTACCCTCTCTTTGAGCTAATTCATTTTTCTGGTCATTTTTGGTTGTGATCTTTATTTCCCCTTTTGACTGCCATCTAGTAATAAGAGTCACTGAGTCCGGCTGTAAACAAGGAAGAATCAAAATACAACATGGGGAATAAGTCAATCAAATAGTATGTATTAATTTGGGTTTTAAACAAAATGGATTGCTTGTCAGATAAATTTTTTCCAAACTTGAACCAAGGAGCAGCTTATCCTTTCTTTTGTATTGGGAAAACAGCATAAGAATGAGATTTTGTAACTTGACTTCTTTCTAAAGCTTGGAAGAAAATGAAATATGAATGGCTGCTCTGATTGTAGTAAGGAAATATGTAAAAGTAATTGTGTGCACTCTCTAACTCTGTCTCAAAATTTTCTTTATTCTTAAATTCCTGCTAGATAATTTTTGTGGCGTCCTTGCAGTGATATAGATCTTATCATTCAACTGTTGAGTGGCTAAAATATGTATTTGACTAGCCTCTATGATTACGCTCTTGTTTAACTTGGTGGCCTTGTGAATCCATCATGACCGTCTTTCTATATTCTGTCTACTGACTTTTGCATGGTAAAGTTACACAATTATAAATAGAAGTAGATTATAATTGTTATTTAGCATCATCAACACATTTTTACCCTTCTCGAGAATTTAAGGTTTTATTTGTTTGATCATATCATATGGCATGTAATCACTTTCTTGTAGGGGCAAGTATTTTAACAGGAGTCAAATCTCTCGAATCAAAACCAAACCATAATTGGAGGTTCAGGTCCAGTTATTAAACGGACCCAAATAATTTTATTTATGAAATACTCAAAGTGTAAGAGGTAGTTCTAGGTATTAAAATACCCGGACTGACACCATCTGACGCCTAGGCCTACTTTCTTGCACATTAGTGTCCTGAAAATTGAGCAGAGGGGAAGAGATGAAATCCTTTGACCCTTCCAAAGATAAAGAAGTTTAGCACTAAAAATTTCCGTCTTTTCATTGAATTCTTAAATCAGGGAAAGCAATGTTGATCTGCAATTTTGGTTGCCTTGTTCATATTATTTACAGCTTCTCTTACCCTTGTGCTCCTCTCTGATTCCACACATAAATTTATATGTTCTTTATATGTCTTGTCAGTTGTGTACTTTCGAAAGTTCTGGTGCGGCAAACAAATACATGCAAATCTTAAACATGAACAGCATTGATAGAATTATTCAAGTAGTTATGTTACTAGTAATTTCTTTGACAAAATTCTGTTATCACTGTTGTCATTCACTACAAATCTCATAATCCAAACGTCAGTTGAAGCTTGTCACTCATGCTCTACCATCTTCATTTGTTTTTCATGGAGCCAGCTGAAGTCTGCTCTTTCATGGTGTTTGAAAGATCCCCTTTTCCTTGGTTACAGTCCATGTGCATTTGTTCTACTTTCTATCTAAACTTACATTTTCCTGAAAATTAAGAAACAGGTAGTAACGGTGGACAGAGAGGTTGATGGCGGTCTTGAGACTTTGTGTTTGGAATTACCTGCAGTAATCACGTAAACGTTTCTTTCTATGCTGCTATAGCTTATTTTCAGAAGACATTTTATATGTGTATACATTCTTTGGTGGATGCTTTTCCTGAATTTTATGTTCTTCTGTTCAAGTCAAGAAAATGGGAAAAAGGAGTTAATAATATTAAATTTACTTGCACAAGTCATGACCAGAGTCCAGTTGCCAGGTGACGTAAACAACTTAGTTTGGAGCAAGTGCCTAAAGGAGTGTGCAAGTAATGTTTTTAGGTTATGTTACGTGCATTTGGAGGGCAATGGCTTTGAACAAGACAACGAGTCTTTTTTAGACACTGAAATCTTTGAACACTCGTGGACTTGTCTCTAATGCTTCTGCCATTGGATGTGCTCATATCAATAATTTCCTTCGTTTTTTACATTCTGGCCGTAGTCGGACACTTGACATGTTCGAATTTAAGCATAAATTCCTCATTTAGTGAAGAAATTATCATATAGACTTGTGAGCATCTGCTTCTTCTTCCTTTATTTGTTTTTTTTTTTTTTTTTGGTTTTTTTTTTCCCTTAATTTTTTCCCCCCCCCCCCCCCCCCCCCCCCCCCCCTCCATTCTTCCCTCTCTTTTCTCTTCTTCTGTCCCCTTTCCTCTTCTACAATTCTCCTCTTGCATTTGACATCAATTTGGCATTAGAGCAATTCGTTTTCCTTTGACCTAACACTTTGTTCTCAAATCCAAAAGTTCCCCAATTGCTTCCATCCAATTCATTTGCCATCACCTTCTACAGCCAATCCAGAACCCAAAACACCTTTATACAAAAAAATTAAAAACCCTTAGAACAGCACACAATTCAAGAATTTGTATCAGCACCAAGAATTTTGCATTTTTTAGTTTGTTAAAAACAATAATAATAAAAAAAAAAAAATAAAAGGTAGCAGCTTCTTCATTATTTAGTTTAGTTTCTGTTTTTTCTAGTTTCATTAAAAAAAAGTTCAACTTGCCGAGTTGCCGTCACCGAGTGACCGGTACATCACTTACGGTGCTGTTTAATAAATCCCCAATACAGACTCCAAACATAAAGCCCATACTCGCCATATCTATCAACCAACCCTATATATATTACAGAACCCCAGTTACCGCCAGCCCATATCCTGAGAGCCCATTAAACTACCTAAACTACCACCAGTTCAATATATCATCTCATAACCCGAGGCCCATCAACAGACATAACCCAAATAAGCCCATTACTAAAAAAACCTACCCAATGCCTAGTTTCTACCCAAAACCCGGCCCATACCCACCATCTTCATATCTTCTAAACCCTACCACCTTCTCCCGCCAACATCCATCTCATCAACGACAACGCCACTCTGTCCAAAGCACATAGTCTACGGTCCTTAAACTTCCCAACCATTCACACAACTCATTTCATTGATCCTGCCATTCAACACCCAACAACCACCACGCATCTTCCTTTGCCTCTCACATGCCACCATCATACGTCGATCGACAGCGTCCTCGTCACACCATCTTTATTAGTTGCCAATGCCTGTAACGCTACAGTTGAATGGTTAAACCACCATAACCTTTGCAAATACCCAGCACCGTCAACATCTCAACCAACCCAAACACTGCAAAACCCTACGGTTTCACCTCGCCAATCACCCATATGTACAAATCCAGCCCCATTGCCATCAACCGCACATCCTTTACACACATTAACCCATCACAAGTCATCCATCTGTTCTGGCCTCTGTTTTTTATTTCTGTCTTAGTCGGCAATTTATAGTTTGATTTACCCAAAAAAAAAAGAAAAAAAGGAGTGATTAAAAAAATGATTTTCGAGCAAATATTTGCACATGATCTTTTTCTTCTTGATGTTGATTAACACAGTCATTCTGATAAATCAATTGTCAATCTTCCACCATAGCTGTGCCAGCTTGAAAATCATGATTGGGACACTGTATGACTATTTTGACTCTTGTAAGGTATCGATTTCTTTTATGTTGGTTATATACTTTTATTTTGGTGTTTTGACCTGTTAATTAAAACAGAAAATTTAGCTTTTCATTCGTAGTTGCTTTATTTTCAAGCAATAATTTTTTTTTTGACGTGGATATTGAAAGTTAGGAGTCCAATTGTCGACAAACGAGAACAAACATTTTCGACCTCCGTTGCTTTTGATGAACTCCTATTTTTACTCGAACATACTGATTATTTATTCTCACAGGTGGACCAATCAACTGATGTCTCCATGCTAACATCTCTTTCTACACTATCACTACTTTGGTTTCAAATGAGCTTATAAAACACCCAAATTTTGCTATACAAGTTGCAGTTGCTTCTTACCTTTGTCAAATATTCCGTATCACGGCACCCAATACCTCTTATAGTGATGGGACAATGCATAATATTTTTTCACTAATTATATCATCATTTGCATCATCTGTCTGGCTTGTTGACACCACTATGTACATATCAAGCCTTAATGAGACGATTAAAATTAAATGTCCGTTTGATTGCAAGAATGAAATTTAGGTGGAAAGAAAATGAATTTTAGAGAATTAAATTATCTAGAACTTGTTTACTGAGAATTGTCAGTTAAATGTGTTTGATTGATATAATTTTTCACCGAAAAAGTGTTTGAGATTTCGGATCTTTTGGTGTTCGTTTGACTTTGTTTTTTTTATGAAAATTGTCAATTAAAAGGATAAAATTTGTTATAATTGTGGAAATAATTTTTTTCCGTTGTAAAAAAAATTAATATATATATATATTTTTTTAAAGGTGGAAAACCCATTTTCACACCTAACTCATGGGAATTGTAATTACTCGAAAAGGTGGAAAACCTAGTCATATGAGGATGAATGGGGAAAACTAATTGCCAGGAAAATTTTACCAAACAAACATGCAAAAAGTTGGAAAGCGGAAATTTTTTTTTCCATTTTCCATGGAAAATTCATCTAATCAAACGGGGTCTAATTAAAAATCTAAAAGCGATAGTAATCGTTACGGGAGAATATGTTTCTTAATAATTTATTCAGGTTTTTATGAGAAATATTGAGCTGCGATATGGAATTTATATTTTATAATTTCATTGTTTTATTCCTTATAAAAATCCATTTGTATTAAATTTTCACGAGTTTAAATTCTAGATCCAAACACTTTTCATTTCGCTCAGAAATTTAACTCAATGTCTATTGCTTCTTTTCATTTAGGTCAATAGTTTCCATGTTGACAGTCTTTAAGAGAGAGTGGTCCAAGACCTTATTTTGCAAAATTTCAAGAGCTATATAAAAGGTGAAAACATTATCTATATAATATATTTAGTTTCCATAATTTATGAGGTAAAAAATAATTAATTGAAATCTTATTATTTTCGAACATTTTTTTTCTGTATGAATTATATTATTACTATTTGATATATTAATCTTTTCCAATATTATTTCTTCTAAAATTTTAATTGGATTTTCTCTTGTATTTTTCACTTTCGAGGTAATGAGTCTTTGACACTAATTGATCAAACATGTTTTTTGACATATTTGAGATTTATTTATTACTGTAGATTGTTCTACAAAAACATTAATATTTGCTGGAGTGTTATCAGTTGGTATATATAACTTTGTCACTTTTCTTATATTTATAAATATATCAGGTAATTAATTTGCAATACTTTGAAAGTAAATAATTTTTCAACCTCTTGTTAATATTGATTCTTAAGTTAGATGGAGTAATTCTATTTCAAGAAAATTTATCTCTTTTTAGGACATATTTTTGCCCCTATTAAAGTTGGAAAACTCAGTTCATCAAAGTGAAATTCTACAAAATATGCATTAAAAAAAATTAGCCGTTAAAGATTCAAGGTACAAAATAAAGGATGGTGAATCAAAATTCACATAAATTCTAAGTCTTCTTTGGGACCTATTCTAGTGCGTTGTGCGTTAAAATTGGGACTTCAACAATCCACCCAAAGACTCGTACATAAAAAATATTAGATTCATAATCAAATTCAAGTGTTAATTTGAGTATTGATGATAAATTGTTGGCCTAATACGAAACTAATGATTCAATATGTAATATGGTATGGCTAGGGACAGCAACGAGCCGAGTCGAACCGGCTCGCGAGCCGAAAATCAAGGCTTGGGCTTGACTTGAGCTTTTTGAAGATGGGCTTTTTTTGCTAGAGCCGAGTCGAGCCAAGCAAAAGCTCGGCCAAAAAATCGAGGCTCAGCCCGAGCTCTAGGCTCGGACCTTACCGAGCCAAAACGGGCCAAGCCAGCTCGTTTTTTCCCACTTTTTTTTTTTTTGAAAGGCAGCTAGTAGTTGCTGTTATTTTACTAGCCGCCTTTAAACAAAGGCAGCAGCTTGCTGCCTTTTAACAATTTTTTTTTTGCGAGCTGGCCCGAGAGTCACACAGGCTAGCTCGGGCTCGACCCGGCATCCCAAGATGGGGCTCAGCCCGAGTTTAGACTCGGTTTGATTGAGCCTTGAGCCGAGCGGCTCGAGCTTTTTGCGGGTCGAGCCACGGGTAGCCAAAGTCCTCGAGCCTTTTTGCCGTCCCTAGGTATGGCCCCAAATAGGAGTTAGGAGTTTTATTTTCATAAATAATGGTCATTAAATAAATTATAGACGTTTGATAAATAACTTCGCTAAATCATTTTTTGTATGTATATGAGCAACTGAATGTTCGATGGCAGTTTTAATTGACATACAATATTCAATGAATGTTTATGACTTAAATTCACTAAGATTATCAAGGCAAATTGTCTTAATCAATTAATCAAAAAATTGAACTCGTAATTTTATGATTTGAGCAGATAGTACAACAAAAGCTACATCCCTAGTGAAGAGAAAGGAGACATGCGACCATCTAGTAAAAAAATTTATCAAGACCATAAAATAACAAAATGGTGGATTCCATATATCTCCATAAATTTCTTTCAAGAAAGTTGGAGATTCAATATTAGCTTTTGGAGTGGAAGGTCTAATGAATAACTTGTATTGCGAACAAATAGTATGTGGATAATTATTAGTTAAATTAATCTTATGGTTCTTTAGAGAATGTAGATGTGAGTTGCTACTTATTTGTTAAATCATAATTGCTCCTATATATCCAAGTCGATTATGCCAAAATGTAAAATTTTTTGACCAACCGAATTTCGGGTTTGTAGTAATTTTTGATTTAATCATTGTTATAAATGTATAATACATGTCAAAGGAGAGTACCATGATTTTTTTTTTTTATCCATATTTGGCCAAATATAAAAGAAATTATATGAAGATATTCAGACCCCGTTTGACTCACATTCTTTCAAAAAATTATATTTTCAAAATGTGATTTGATATCATTTCAATCATATATTATTCAATATAATAATATTAGACGCAAATTCAAAAAAATCTCTTATTTTTTAACTACATATTTTTTATTAACACACTATTCAAAAATGCATTCTAATGAAAATAATGTGGCTCAAACAAGGGCTTAATGTTATTTTATTTCATTATTTCAATTTTATATCTATTGCGGTGAATATCTTTAAAACAAAGTAAATTTCTTTTGAATTTGTTGAAATAAATTGTATCATCAATATATAATTTTTTATTATTTGGTAGGATAATACTAATTCTTTCGGAGTTTTCAACGATATACAGGAGAGCCAGGGTTGCCTAAAATTGTCTTTTTCATATTGGGCTGATATGTATATATATAAATAATAATAATAAAATTCACATACAAAATTTAACTTTTTACCCTATAATTTTTTATTTATTTTATTTTATTTTTACACTCTATTTTTTTTTTCCTAAGTAAAAAATGGATTTGGGCTTGGCTGGCTTGGGTTATGGCCAAGACCAGCATAGGACTAAATCCTCTTCTGACAATATTCTATGCATCGGTTTTCACGAAGTACTTTTTTATCTTGAAAATTTGTGTGCATAGTTGCAATATCAACTAAATAGATATCTTTAGCCCTCGTTTGATCCCCATTAAATTACATTACATTACATTCTATTTTTCTCTTTCCTATTTTCAATTATACAATCTTTCATAAAATAATATTACACGTAAATAAATTTTTTTCCCTCTTTTTCAACAACTCATTTTTCAAAAAAAATATTATTCCACTCATTTTCATTACCAAGTAATGGGAATCAAATAGGAGCTTAATATCCATATTAGATATTATTAATATATCTTTTGCTTCTTTAGCAATAATATTATTTATTATGAGAATATTGAATTATAGAATATCATTCTATTCATGAGCGATAAATATTATTCTTTTTGAATATTAATAAGATAAAGAAGATTACAACTTAATATTGAGTTATTTAATTCGTGCTTTTTAAGGAAATACAATGAGATATATATTTTTCCAAAACAATAAATTTAATGTTTGTTTATAAACAATACTATATTCTTCTAGAATATTTATATTTACAAAATTTACTTTTTCTGCATAATTACATAATATTCTATCAGAATATTGATATAACATATTTTTCACTTCTCTATGAGCATTTATCTCATTAAATAATCATATTATATTATTCGAGAATATAACAATTTGTAAAGTTGTGCCATTCAGTAGCAATAACACCATATTGTATTATCGTATAAACTCATGTTTCTTTAACAATCTTAATTATTAAATAAAAATTAATTAATAGATCTATAGATTTAGATTTTACGAACGAATTAGAATTTTAATTTTAACTTTGAATTTGAAGAACAACGAGTTGTTGATTTGCTATTGAAATTTCACGATAATCAGACAACGGGATGCTGAGTATGTTCAGATTTTTGTGAATTTTCTGTATTGTTGATTTAGAATTTCTATTAATTTGTGTGAGTTATTTCGTATTGATAATGTGTTATAAAATTAAAAGAACAAAAGAAAAATATAGAAGAAATAATAGAAAAAGTCAATAGATTTGTGCGTAATTTTATTATAACAATGGACCCGTAAACACACCTGGGCAAAAAAATTGAAAAATCGATCAAACAAATCAAATCTAATTGACTCGCACTGGCTCAGATCAATTTGACATGAGTAATTAGTTTGGTTTTCTTTTAAACAAAACTATTGTCGATTGGTTTAGTCAAGGTTTGACACCTCAAATTGTTGGTTAATCAAATCAACCAAACTCACTTACATGTTTATCTTTTATTTATAAGAAAAATAAAAATCAAAAGATAGGCGTTAATCTCATAACTATATTTTAATTCTCTCCAATCTGTGATGTTGCCAGTAAGAAATAGCATTGAAAATTTCCCTATACAAGCTCGTAATTTTAGTTTTCTAATCTGTCAATCTCTATTAACTTGATTTTATTTGTTAATCAATAGTTCTTGTATATATAAAGTTATTTAATTATTTTAATTCTTATAATTTAAGTGGGCCTAAAATTTGAACAATTTTTTTTTTTTTTCACTTTGGATTAAAAGTCCAAACCGACTAATCGAACAAACCAAATCAAGCTGGTTCTATGCAGTTTAAGAGTTGGAATAAATTGGTTTGAATTGAAATTCACCAAAACCAATTAATTTTATTTTGGTTTCTCGTTGAAGTCGAAACCAACCTAAATTAAATTGTAATATATATAGTATATATCATCATCATCATCTTCTTCTTCTTACATTTTTACAATATATAATGATCATTTAAATTGATTTTTAAGTTCATTGGGAAAGAATCGAATGGGGAATTTTTAACCCACCAAACATCTTATCAATATCAATTTGTATATTGCCCCCTGGGACATAGTCTAGTGGTGTAAAGGATAGAAGTGATGTTATCTCACGCCTTGTTGGCAGCCACAGTGTGAAGGTTCGATTCCTGAAACATGGAATTGGACTCTTTGTAGGCGCAGTATACATACAGCTCTTGTTCCCTACTCGTTAGGGCATATCCCGGGATTTATCTCCCTCACAAAGTTCTAGAGTCGGGGCGATGAGGATCCTTAAGGTTGGGGTTCAACATTTTTTTTTTTTTAATTTAAATATCAATTTGTATATTTGATTTTGAAAAAGTGCTTGGATTAGACATATTTAAGTCAATTCCTCCTCCAATCAATGCATTGACAGAAATAATTGGGCCAATCCTCACTGATTCAATTCTCCGCCTCCAAATCATTATTCTTCACCACTGTCCTCCATTTTCAACATAATCAAATCAGATCATTCTCTCTAAATCAAGCAGAATAAAATTTCCTATTTGATTTTCAGAATGCAAAATCACTTGGATTTATTCAACGAGAATTGCTGGTCTGATCTGATTGATTACAGCGACCTGCTAAACGAAATCGAGCCGATTGATCTTTCGTGGAACCCTCCATCCCACACCCAAAGGTATCAATTCTCATTCGAAGTAATTTGATCAGTTTTTCGTCTTTTCTTAATTTTCTTATATTATTATTAACATGTAGTTCTTGGGCTATGATAATTCCAACTGTTCTTGTACGCGCGATATTTTTAAATTTTTCTTTAACCTTAGATGATGATGATTGTTATTATTATTATTAGATTAAAATTTCATTCATTTGATTTAAAAAAAAAAAAAAAATAGTTTGATGTGCACTGTATGTTATTATGCTTCCCCCTTTTTTAGGCTAAATGTATTTTATTTTTCTGAAAATTAGGAATTTAAACTTATGGGCAAAGTTTAGAGAAAATGCAAGTGAAAAAGGAAAACAAATTGTATTTTCTCTTCTTTTGTCATATTAAATATCTGAAAATTGAAATTTAAGTCTGTATCACTAACAAAGAACAATTTCAATTTTTGAGGCAGTTTCACTTAATGCTGTATAAGGTTGGATTTGACCTAAATTGTGATAACTGATGGGACTAATTGTTCTCAATCTTATTTGGCTAAATTTTTATGCATTAAAATTTATTAAATTTACTAGCAAAAAGTAGATTTTTTACTAAATATGTCAGAATTGTTTCAATATGATTGAACATTTTCGCTGCAGTATTGCGTTGGGAGTTGATGTCTCTCTCAGTGGAACGGCATCACAAGGAAGTGAATGTGCAGAAAAAGAATGCCCGAGAAAGAGGTAATTATGGGTATAATTTCATTTTTCTACTTTGGGGGAAGCTCATATTTTCCTCTGTTTTGATTGTTGTGAAGACCGAGTTTAACTTTTGTATGCTCTATGGGAAATTAATACTGTGAGCTGATTCTAAAATTGCAGCTAACATATGGGAAATGACGGAGTTCAATAGATTGGAAATTTAGATACAGGTTTTGAATAACATATATTTTCTGTTAATAATTTCAGCAGCTATGACATATCGAATATTCCATATTTTGTTAAGTTTATCAGCTAATAAAAATAAGTAAGATTTATACATTTATGAACACAGAAATGCAACTAAGGCGGCATCTAGTTTCTGTAAAAGCTAAGAATGTCAAATACAATAGTGAATTAAAGGTATTGATATGGATTCAGGGAGCACTGAAATGAAATAGCTATATAGTTAGGGAGTGGTGATTGATTCAGATAATTTGGCTATTATATATTGTAGAATCTATAAATTTCAAAAGAAATAACAACTGAGTTCTTTCCGTCCAACTTTATACAGTCGAAATATTTAGCATACTCATTGCCTAGATCTAGTCAGCATTGTCCTTCGGAGTCTACACTATCATCTATCAGCACACTGTAATCTCTTGCTCTCGAGTGGGCGAACTCTAGTTTTTGCATATTGACTAGAAAAGCTTTGAATCAATGTTGGTAGTTGTGTATTTATGTGATGCGGAATATGTGTAAGGATGTTCTAATTTATGATTCATCTTTTAACCCGACGTACAGATACATTTTGTTTAAATGCCTTAGTTTTTATATTAAAATATCCTGTAAAATTAACTTTGATAAATGAAAGTTCGGTGATTTAGTAGAGATGCTTGAAGAAATATTTCTTTACTAGTACTTAAGGTAATAAGTTCATTAATTATTAAGCATCCTCATCCTATATAATTTTGAATATACAGGGGACATGGTGACCTGTGCGGAGGAGTAGGAACTAAAGCCTGCCGGGAGAGAATGAGGAGAGAGAAATTGAATGACAGGTGCCCAAACATTGAATTTTGTTCAAATGTTTCTCTTTATTGCTAGGTTATTATCTCTGGTGCCTAAAATGCCTGCAATTTTGTTTTTGTGCAGTTGACATGTTTATTTTACCTCCTAATGTCTGTATGAATATAATTTTTTATGAATGCAGTCTACTTTAATTAAATGCAGTTTATTGAAAGGAAATGAGAAAACTTGTGGTGCTTTGGATGTCTAAAGTGTACTCTCAAAAAACCAAAAGCATTATAAATGTAGATGGTACTTTCCATGTAAGAATCACATTTATCTTGCATGCAGGTTCTCAGAATTGTGTGCTATTTTGGAGCCTGGCAGACCTGTGAAAACTGACAAATTGGCCATACTTGGTGATGCCATCCGAGCTCTCAACCAGTTAAAAACTGAATATGAAGAGTATAAAGAGAGAAATGAAAAGCTTTTGGAAGAGATCAGGATATTGAAGGTTAGACAGGATATATTCACATAAATTGTTATAGCCGTTAACATTTTTTTTCCCCCTTACATTTGGATGGTGGGGTTCTGCTGGGAGTCTAGTGCATATAATATCCCACAACTTTGTTGATAGGTCTAGTTTGTGTTAGTTTATTACAATCATTCTAATATTGATTTAAGATTCTTAAGTATAAGAGGATGGCTAGTCAGGGTCTGGTTTTCAAAGCCAGGGTAATGAGAAAATGAATGTTTCTTCATATGTCCAAATGAAGTTACATCAGGTTAACCTGACTGGATTCTCTTTTTGAGATACTATTTGAAGAACCATTATTCAACAGTTGTGCCATTAGGTTTACAGAAACTGGTTACAGAAAATACTAAAAAAAATCTCACCAAAAACTTTTGTTATGTCTTATTCACTTGAATATCATTTAGAAGTTCTCCTGTTTTGTTAACTGCCTTCCTTTATCACCATGAAAATACCATAGAAAGAAGAAAAAAAAAACTACCTTCATGACCATTTCTTTAATGTGTACTCAAAACAAGACTATTTCCCTTTATGATCATGAAAATATGGAGTTAGAAAGAATGAAATATTCCTTTACCAAGAGAATACATTAGTCTTCTTAACACATTCCCATTGTTGTTATTCTAGACCACATTTCAAGTCCAAAAGAAAAACTAAGTGATACTATGAACTCAATCTGTATTCATCTTATATGTAGCTAAAGATATTTCCCATACTTGTGATTTCACCTTCTGATCTATATCAGGCAGAGAAGAATGAACTTCGTGAAGAGAAAATTGTACTCAGGGCAGACAAGGAAAGGATGGAGCTGCAATTGAAACGCATGCCTCTTCCACCTGCTGGGTTCATGCCACCACATCCACCACTATATCAGGCTGGGGCAAACAAGATGCCGATGTTTCCAGGGTACAGTTTTGTCCCAATGTGGCATTATCTTCCACCATCTAACCGTGATACTTCTCAAGATCATAAACTCAGGCCTCCGGCTGCCTGATTCTTTTGTAAGTTAGTTGCAGGGTGTAGCTCGCAAAGAATCTTTACCTTGCATTGCTATCTACCGTGTTTGTAAAAATTTACTAGCCAATTGCTTTGACATTGCCCAAATTTATATTTTCTAGTCTCAAGATTGGATGACTGAACAACAATTATTTAGTAGGGAATTGAGTTAATTAAATGAGCGACCGTTTAATTTTATACTTGGTTACTACTTGCTCACCGAAAAACAAAAGGTTACTGAATGTTCACCGAACTATTCATTTATTTACCCATCCATCACCATAGTCATTTCCATTTATACAATTGGCAAAAAATTCCATGTGGTAGATGGAAAAATGATGTGGCACATGGAATTATTTAGTCACTCCACGTCATTGTAAATTGCTTTAGATACTAGGTATACCCTTCTTCGACTGGGCTAAAAAAAAGATAAAAATTCCCTAATGAAATCCATAGATTGAACTCTTTCAGCCCTAAATTTCAGGGTTTATACTCAAACTAATTACTTTAATTGGCATCCCAGGTGCTATACCAGATTCATAATCCACATCCCAGAATATCTATTTTATCACAAGCAATTTATAGTGACGTGGAGTGATTAACTGATTCTTTGTACCACAATTTTTTTCATCAGTCATGGAATTTTTTGCCAATTGTATAAACGAAAATGACTATGTTGATGAATAGATCAATAAATGAATAGTTCAATGTGTATTCAGTAACCTTTCGTTGTGCAATTAGTAACCAAGTATAAAATTCAGTGGCCACTCATTTAATTAACTGGGAGGAATTAGATAACATTTAATTATGATCCAAATCTTCAGTTTAATAAGATGTTTCCATTATTTTCTTTTCTCCCCAGAATTTTTCGATTGGTATTTCTGCCCCCCAAGTTTTAGTTCTCATTTTTCAGTGTAGATGCTAGGGCCAAGTTGAGTCTTGCCTAGGCAAACCTATGAACTGATTTTACTCTTGTCAAAATTTTCATTCAAAATTTACTTTCTTTTGGTCTACCTTGTCCGACCTGCACGGGACTGCCGATCACGGTGCCAAGCGCAACCAGATCCGCCAACGCGGTTCACTTTGACAGCAAATTATCTATGTACACTTTTGTCTCTAAATTCCAAATTCTTCATAAAAGAGTGCAAAACTCTGTATTTCTTGACGTGAGTACTTAGGCATGGCCATGATCAATGATTCCCACTTGCTTATTCTTAGTCTGATAAAAGAAAATTCTATCCAAACAAAACATCCTTAAAGAATCTGTTTACAAAATCCATTTACACAGATAAACAAATCCCATTGCATTTTAATGTATAATTTGAAATGCTTAACAGAAACACTCAAAACCAACCCAAATCATAAAGCAGTGGTTTTTCAAATGCTACCTACAAAATCTTTATCACATTACGAAAACAAAACATGTATCTGCATGTCGCGTACTTTTGTTGTTCGTTTTTACCTTTAAAAGTGAGAAACAAACCTCGCAATGAATACAATACCTTAAGATGTACAAAAACCTAACCTGCAGCGACAAGCCAAAACATGATGAGAGAGGAGATTGCTATAGTTATCCAACTCAGAAAGGCCAATGCAACTGCCATTTGGTACTTTGTGCATTCTTCTCCCAGGCTGCAACCTCCCAAGTCATCAAAGTACAACACAGTTATGCCGGCTGAGGAAGCAGCTGCTGCAAGGGATAATGTTGCAGTAACCTGCCATGTCGTTTATAAACTACACGGTCAAGTGTTGAAGACAATTTATATTAATAATTTAATCGTCTCTTCAACCACTTAAGTTTTTAGATAAGGAGATTCAATGCAATATCAGAACAATAAAAAGAACCGAGTTCAAGTTTTGCCTATCACGTCTTTACTAAAATTATGAGACTTTGATGAAAAATGTATTTGATTTGCAAATGAGATGGCCTCTTGAAGACAGTTTAAATAACTAAAAGCTAATCTTTTCTTATAGTTTAACTTTTAGATGAAGCGGTTCAACAAACTCTTGGAAGGTTTCTACCGATTAAGGAAGAATTCTATGAAGAATTAGATACTGACCCAATCTCCGACTGCAAATAGGCTGAGTAGAATGGAATTGTGAAGAACCTTCTTCTTGGACAAGGCATAGACATCCATGACAGCTAGTCCAAAGCTCCATATTACTTGCAAACCCATTGAGGCTATCAAGTAGCTGGAACAATGATATGACTTGAGCTTATTTTTGACATTTTTACGGCAATCCGAAAGAAAGTGACTTGGAAAATAAATTGATAAGATTAGCGACAACAGTAAGAATAAATTGTAATGCATTTAAACTGTCATCAATAATCTCCTTTTAGGCAGCTTCATTCTGTTTATTGCTAGATCTACTAGATGATCGAACTTGAAATACCAAACAGTAAGAGAATTATACCAATTAAGGATTCACAGCTTCAACAAGTAAAATTTTCGGCCTTCCTTTTAATACATTGACTTATGAGCAATATATTAGGCGAATTCCTCAAAACCAACTCTGTTAAGCCATTTCTATCAATCGAAATTCACAGATTCTGATTTCAAAATATCACAAACTAACGATTCTGAACAATTAAGACACTGCAGATCATAACATTTACATTTAATGCACACAAAAACTATAGATCACGTTCAATAGGAGAAAAGAAGAAATAAATACCAGAAAGCTGTGAAACTGAAGAATGTTTTGGTAGTTGCCATTGAAGCAATTGATCCAACTGAAAATAAGCACTGTGCCAACCTCAGAGTAAGTCCAGTCCGTGTACCAGGAGCCCCAGCAAAACTCTTCATTTTATCTCATATAAACTTAACAAAAATCAGAATTTTGATGAACTTTTGTGAGGATCCATCTTCTCGTTTCTGCCTTTTTCGCTTGAAGACAATCTCCGTCTGGGTCTGGCTCGAGGATTAGGAAACCTTTGCTATCATTCAAGAATATACATATTATTTCATCCCAGTTTTCCCTATCCAGAAATACAAGTAAACAAGAGGTTTTAAAGAAAAAGCATAAAGTCTAACGTCAAGATCCAATCAGAAAAAAGAAAAATAAGTTAAACAACCCTTTTGTTTGAACCCAAAAGTATAGAAGCCTCAGAGTTAAGATCTATGAAATGATAGAAATTGCTTTCAAATTGCAAGGAAATCATGAGTAAGGGAAAGGGGGACAGGTGTACAAAGAAACAAGACAATGATGATGTGAGAGACTAACTAAATCCTATTGTGTTCTCGATTCAGTGATGAACAAGATACCAAAAGGCCAAAGCCAGGCACTTTTAGAATTATAATACTACTTTATTTCGACCAAACAATGGTGGTCAACTGGGGCGAGCAGATCTCATTTGGAGAAATGGGCATATGCAATGGTAATAAAAAAAAAAAGAAAAAAGAAAAAAAGGTTGAACCCCAACCTTAAGGGTCCCCCACCGTCCCGCCCCTGGAGCATCGTGAAAGAAGTTAATCGCGAAATATGACCTATCACGCTAGGGAACAAGAGTTGTCTGTACACTGGTGTTCACTAAAAGTCACAATCCATGTTTTAAAGGGGGTCTTAACTACCGTCTCCTTGGACCGTTCTCAATTGAATATCTTATAACTTATAGAAACTTTTAAAAAGTTTCAATTAGATAAATTGAGACTTTTTAAAAGTTTACAAAAGTCTTAATCAAATACATCTAAATTTTTAGAGAGTCTTTAAAAGTCTCATTGAATACACCCCCTCAGTACCTTCATGGCAATGAATGCAAAGTCCATCGCCTCATTCACCATTTTTTCTCGAGGCATTCAAAGTGTAGTCCAAGCCTCGTTGACATACGCCTCTAAAGCAACTTAACTTATGTAGGAGCATCACCTCTTAGTTTTGAGGCGATGAGAGGCACCCAATTTTTAGTTGCAATAGATGGGTCTTCGAGGTTCGAGGCAGTTATAGTTAGATATGGGATGCCTCATGCAAGATGCATTCTGACAGCATGGAACTATATGAGATTAAATTCTTATTTGGGCTCAAGTTTTGGGAAAAATGTATTTCGCAATGATAATTTTTTAGAGAATATGTGATTAAAAAAATAAAGGTAGTTTTTGAATTTACATGTAATATTATTTTATTGAAGATTGTGTAGTTGAAAAGAAGAAAGAAAAAATGTATTAAATTGGCACAGCACGAAACAAGGAATTTAAGTGAAAAATCTTAAGAACTTGAAGTTTGGAGTTTACCAAATTATGAAGGAGTAAACACAAAAAAATTTATTAATGGAAAAATGAACAAAACAACGAAATAATTCATTATTTATAAGGGTTTATATGAAATCCTAATTTAAGATGACAAAAATTAATGTAAACAAAATTTAAACAATCTAAAATTGAAAAGAATCCAAAATAAACTAAATGATTGAAATAGTGCTAAAACTTTAAAAGTCATTTTCTAGTCCTAAACGAACTCGAATGGCCAAAATCCATCTTGCATCATGACAAAGCGATGAGTATTACTCGTCTCGTCATCCTCTTTTTTTGAAATGGTATTATGGGCCCAAATCAAAATTTAGATGTTCTCTGTGTACTATTACTTCTTCCCCATTTTGATCCAAATTTTTTTCTATCTATTCAACAATATGTTCTATCAAAACCTTCCACCTCCAAAGAACTTGAACCCAGGTTATAATCTGGTTATAAAGGGTAATCATCTTTATGGAACTCGAACAAATCTTCCACATTGTACATTCGAGAAATACACATGGAAGCTAGTAAATCAATAATGTAGGCATTGTTAGTAATCATCTTAAGTACTTTGAAAGGCCCATATTCTTGATTTTAGCTTGTTGTAGGTACCAACGAGAAATATCTCTCTTTCTCAAAAACACTATCACTAAGTCTCTTTATTGAAATTATTTATCCAATTTATGTGAATCTGCTGGTGCCTTATTCTTTGAATTAGTCTTCTCCATCTTTTATTTTGCTTCATCATGGACTGCTAACACCTTTTTTTTGCTAGATGTTCGGCAGCAACATTCTTACCATTGCTTTTGGCCAACTTCACTAGATCCATCACATGGTAGGAGACCTCTGTATACATAATAGCAAATGGGGACATGCCTATAATAGTATGAACTACAATGTTGTATGCAAACTCCACCTGAGGCAATACAATATCCCATTGTTTGGGCTTATCTCCACAAACACTTCGAACCATATTTCTAAGGGTACAGTTAGTGAACTTGATCTATCCATCAGCTTGGGAATGGGCAATGTTGCTTCAATTCAAATTGGTTCCAAACAACTTCCTTAATGTAATCCAAAAGTGCCCCAAAAACTTTTTATCCCAACTTGATGTGATAGATTTGGAAATTCCATTCAATCTAAAAACCTCCTTGAAAAATAGTTTGATGATACTCGATGCATCGAAAATCTTCTGACAAGCTATGAGTAAGCCATTTTGGAGAACTTATCATCCACCACAAAAATAGAATCTACACTACGTTTGAGTATGAGATAATCTTCGAACAAAATCTATAAACAAGATCTTGCCATATGCCCTAAGGAATAGGAAGTGACATGTACAACCTGGTATTCTACACTTGACATGTATCACTTTTTTTTTACTATAATTCCAACATCCTACTTCAACTGTGGCCAATAGCACCTAGCCTCCAGATTGTCTATTGTCTTGTCAAGCTCCCAAGTGTCTACTTAGACCTCCATAATGTAGATCTTAAAGTAACTTTTCATATAGAAATGAAATAAGAGTACAAAGTTGGTTGCCTTTGAGAAAATACCCATTACTAATATAAAAATTCACCATTGATTCCTGATTTACACACTTACTTCAAATCTCTTTAAAGTTAGAATCATATGTATACACTTCTTTCAAGCACTTAAACCTAACGATTTCCCATGATAGTGTGACCAGTAAAGAAGCTCTCTAACTCAGTGCATCTGCAACTCCATTCGTACTTCCATATTTATGTTTAATCACAAAAGGAAATTTCTAGAGGAAAGTCACCAACTGAGCATGGATCTTGCTATGTGTTTTTGACTATGAATAAACTTCAAGACTTAGTGATCAGTAAACAACATAAACTCATTCTATACAAGGTAGTGTTCCCATTACTTCAAAGCTCTCACAACTACATAGAATTCTTATTCATAGTACTCCACTTCTACTTGGCATCACTCAACTTTGCTAAAAAGAAAGCCAAGGGTCTCTTTTCTTGAGAACGAACAGCCCCAACACCATCCCACTAGCATCACACTTCATCTCAAATATTTTCTTGAAACTTGGCAAAACTAATACTGGAGCCATGCACAACTTTTTTTTTGATGAAGGTGAAGCTTTTATCTTGCTCCTCTCTCTAATTGAGTCTCCCATTCTTCAAACATTTTGTGAGCGGTGCCATAATAGCACTATAATGCTTGATAAATGGTTTGTAGAAAGTTGCTAAACCATGAAAACTCCTTACTTCAAAAACTGATTTTGGTGTTGGCCAATCTCAAATTGCTTTTGTCTTCTCTTCATCGACACGCAGACCATCTTCACCAGCAAAGCCTATAAACAATAGCTTATGTGTACAGCGCACTTCTTTAGGTTGACGTATAACAGATTTTCCTTTACAACCTCTAGGACTTGTCCGAACTGAACTAGGTGATCATCCTTGGACTTGCTGTATATAAGTAAATTATCAAAATAAACCATAACTAAAGACATAATAAAAGAATAAAGAACCTGGTTCGTCACTCTCATGAAGGTACTTAGAGTATTTGAAAGTTCGAATGTCATCACCAACCATTCATAAAGTCGATCCTTGCTCTTGATGACAGTCTTCCATTCGTCTCAAGTTTGATACAGATTTGGTGATAGCCATCATGAATATCTATTTTTGAGAAGACCTTAGGACGTTGAGTTATATCTAATATGTTCTTCAACTATGGAATGGAAAAATTGTACTTGACTATTATCTTGTTGACTAAACGACTGTCACACACATACGCTACTTTTGATCCTTCTTTGGCACTAGAAGACAGGTAATACACATGGACACATACTCTTTCTTATGAATCATTTCCTCAACAGCTCTTCAATTTGCTCTTTCAGGATCTCGTTCTCTTTCTGACTGGCAATGAGATAAGTTTGGAATGTTAGCTTCTGGTACCTAATTAATCTGGTGCTAAATATCATAGGAGGTAACAAATTTGGCAATTCATCGAAAACCAAATCTTTAACTTTTGTCTATATTTCTTACAATTCAGATGGAACACCCTCATCTTCTTTATTTGTTGTAAAAAGTCCCTTAACTACAACCGGATAAAAGTAATCAATTTCTCTTACGGACTCTACAATCTCATTGTCTTTACTTATAAGGGTAAGAAAACTTCAAGTTTGTTGTTGAGTAGACTTTTTCACTTGTTTGAGAGGAGCCGTAACGATCTTATGATTGCCCTATGAAAAGAATATGACATTATTACGTCCTTTCAGAGTTAAATCCACATTAAATTGCTATGGATGATCATCCATGTCTATGACATCACACATAATTTCATCCTTTTAATGCTTACTAATGGAAATAAGTACTTTGTAACTCTCTGCAACTTGAACGGAAGGACCTCTTTTTACTCAACCAAGTGAATAAAGTTTAGGGTGGTCTTCAGTTGGTAATTTCAACAAATTCACTAACTTCTTTGACACAAAGTTCTCACAGCTTTCGTTGTTTACAATCACTTCCTTAACAGAACAAAGCGAACATAAAACACAATGATGTTTTCCTTCTTCCTTAGGCAACAAAAGGATTCGTTGCAGTACCAAAGTAAGCCTTTTTACACCTTCCTCAATAGCAAACTTTACTCCAGCATACTCATCTTCCACCTCAGTGCCTTTCTCCTTGTTCACTACTCTGGTTCCACCAAATTGACATGCGTTTTTTCGGGATAGGTACTAGAATGATGCCCATGCTTGTGGCATCTATAACAAATATTTTTTGTGGACTTAGTATACAGATTTACATTTTTAGGTGCACCTCGAATTTGACCTCTATTCCCAAAATGACTACAGGATTGGCTGGGTTTGTTGGAGGCATTTCCTTTATCTGAAGGAATGGATGATGATGTTTCGACAGGTGGGGGCCACCTATATGAAATTATCCTCTTATTAGATTTTTTTCATATCTGATTTCATCACTATGTTAATGACTTCTTACAACATCAAAATATTCTATAGTCCAATTCTATCTTGAATAGCCACCTTCAAACCATTGGTATACCTGGCTATCCCTTGA